TTGGAGCACCAAAGTTGGGGGTGGGAGGAGGAATTCGGGGAAGTAAATTCTTCTTTCTGCTTAACCGTCTTTTCTTACGCCCTTCCCTTCTTTTTCCTCTTCTTTCTTCTTTCTTCGAACTGCGACCATCATACTGACGAGGTCCAGTCGCAGTGTCGGGTTAAGACGTATATGAATTAATGGACCGAAACGTATCAGCTCACTTTTATCCCCAACCTTCATCACCCTTTCTTGCTTTTACGCACTCCACCGTCTGCACTTCCAGGACTGACCTGGAAGCTGCATCCTATTTAGCTGGAGATTTTGAAATTGACCGTAAGCCGCTAAATAAGGAGGATAGATTCAGGCAGTAAAATAGGCCGAAGCGTTGGATAAGGCGGATGAAGGTTGGGAAGGACGGGGGTAGAGGAAGTAGCGGTGCACCGGTTTGTTAAACGCCGCAAGATTTTGGCGATATCGTCATTCCTAAACGTTGGTTACTCGTTCACTCGTGTAACTGAAATCTTCGCTAATTATTTTCTCCTGCTCTCAGAAGATTTATTGAATATAGTGTGCGGAAAAGGTATATTTAGCATGCATCCATCTTTCAGTTATTTGTCGGAACTGTATGATACCGAAAGGGAAATTGTCACAAGAGGTATTGTTGATGAGAATGCTGAAGTTTCGTTGCTGCATCACTGCAAGCAGAACATGGATTTGCTAAAGAAACGATACGATAAGTGCATTGAAGTAGGTCCAAATAGTAAACTTTTATGAATACCACATAGTACTGTCCTGTAATTGGAGGCCTCTTTTACTGCACTAGCTCCAACTTGCTAGAGAAATTTTAAAAAAAAAAAATGAAGGAGGAAGAATGCTTGTCGGGAATAACGGCTTATGCAGAGATCAGCCTTGCCAAGACACCAGTGGCACGTTTTATCAGTACGGATGTAAAAGTCTTCCGGAGGAGAAGTGAGTAGCCAGTGAAGTCTATCCGTAATGGGCGAGGGAATGTTCAAAATTCTTTAAGTTTTCTGTGTTTTACAAATTGTGGAAAACTGAATTGATGACACCTGGTGATCGGATTAATTAAGCTGGTGCATGAGCTACGAAGCAATTATGAGATGGTTACGGAGCGAACATCTTCGCTGCACAATGCCTGTGATCGGATGATGGCACATCAGACGCAGATCGCTGCTGGAGCGGAACAGATACGTGCCAACCTCTACTACTACACCCAGTACGA